GAGTAACTTTGAAATGAAAGATCTTGGTGAAGCATCTTTTGTATTAGGGATCCAAATATATCGTGATAGATCTCGGTGTATTCTCGGATTATCTCAAAAGAGCTACATTGATAAAATACTCGAGCGATTCAGCATGCAGAAATGCAAGCCGGGAGATACCCCTATAGCTAAAGGAGAGAAATTAAGTCTCAGCCAATGCCTTAAAGTAAATATGGAAATTGAGGAGATGGAAAAGATCCCCTATGCCTCGGCAGTTGGGAGCCTCATGTATGCACAAGTATGTACGCGTCCAGATATTGCGTACATAGTCAGTGTGTTAGGCAGATACCTTAGTAATCTTGGATTGGATCACTGGAAGGTAGCCAAGAGGGTGATGAGATACCTGAAGAGAACCAGTAATCATATGCTCATATATAGGAGGTCAGACCAATTGGAGATCGTTGGATACTCTGACTCCGACTTTGCAGGATGCCGAGATACTAGGAAATCTACATATGGCTATGTTTATATGTTGGCTGGTGGGGCCATCGTTTGGCGCAGTGCCAAACAGACACTCGTTACCAGTTCCACGATGGAAGCTGAGTTCATGGCGTGTTTTGAGGCATCACAACAAGCGATTTGGCTAAAGAACTTTTATCGCTGGGTTGCGAATCATTCCGATGGTTGAAAAACCCATCAAGATTTTCTGTGACAACAATTCAGCGGTTGAATACTCCAATAACAATAGGAGCTAGTCCAGGTCAAAGCATATTGACATTAAGTTCCTAGTTATGAAGGAGAGAGTAATAGATCATCATATTTCGATCGAGCATTTAGGGACAAAATCTATGTTAGCAGACCCCTTAACTAAAGGTGTAACGCCTAGGGTCTTCCATGAGCATACTACTCATATGGGTGTGTTACAATTTGAAGAAGCTTCACTGTAGTGGGAGTATGCATTTATATTCTTTTGTCGTTCACTTGATATTTGTTTTATACTCTTTTGATCATTATTTCGGTTATGATGTTTTGGACATTATGATTAAGTAATTTACGATCTCATTTAGTTTGGACCAGTAGAAAATCGATATATTCAGATCACACTTATGTAATTTTCTCTCTGCACGTTCCATGATTGATCTATGTCATTTGATTACACTGATATTCGTGATTACTGTGAATTTAGCTGTTGATACGGCGATTGCTTCTTTAGTCCTATATTGTTGTGATTGATGGACCAGATTGTTGCAAGCCTTGTTTTATAATGACTGAAAATTGAGCTCATAAGGAACAACATGTTCATTCAGACACATACTAGATCCAATGGGAGATTGTTGGATTTGGGATCAAATATGTGTATCGAATATATTGTTAAAGTCATTATTTTATCCAGTCATATTATTTAAGTGGTCTAATTAATATAATTAATTATTGACTGATAGGTTTGATTGTTATGGAATGAAAGTGCAGCCACCCGTATAATATTATTATTTTGGTGACGTGACAAATTAATAATATTAATTAAGGGCATAATTGTAATTGCAATTATGTTTGCCCTATTATAAATAGGCTAGGGTTAGGTCCCCAGGATCAGCACGCCGTAAAAGAGATCTGATTCTCCCTGCAGTTTCTGCTCATCACCCGTCAAAGACAGAAAGGAAGTCGGCTCTCTGATCTTGGAAGACCAAACCTTTAATCACCCAAGATTTGTATATGGCTTCATCAGGTACGCTTCCGCTTTAAAGGATCGGGCATTTAAATTCAACAATTATAAAAATGTCCTATGTATAAAATAGAAAAAACACAATTTTTATATAAAATAGAAGAAAAAACAGATTAAAAAGAAAACCCGAAGACATAAGAAAGTTACATCGAGAATATAATATGATTATCTAAGCATATTTCAAAATATTATGGTTTATGTCAAAAGAAATTAGTCAACAAATAGCCTCTACCTCCTATTTCTCCTAGCTCAGTCTTTTCTACAAGTAACTCCGACCTCGGTAATTGTGTTGAATGCCGATGGAAGCTTCAGTTCCAAGCGTGACTCGCCTATCCGAAAATTTTGTAACATTGGATGTTTTTATTCTAACTCCCTGGCTAACCTTTTGAATGTAAGAAGCTCTGCATTTTCGGATTGGAAAAGAATTTGAGCACATATTTGTATATTTTTAAGTCCAAAACATCGATGTTGTACATCTGTTCACGTAGGGGGCAAATCTCGGGGCCAATAATCCATATAAAACATCAAGCATACGCCACAACTACGAATATCTAATTGCGCGATATAGGGCGGGGATTCAATTGAAAATTGTCCATCCATCCCACCACGTGCCCGAATATAGCTTATTCACGACGAGTTTAAAATATTTGAAGAGTATTGAAAAAGTAAGAGAATCAGAATCTCAAGCATTAATGGGAAGATTGATGGATAATTCAATTGATTTTTGCATTGACGGCAGCGGCCGCAGTACCAGCACCAACGGCAAAGGAAGGGCAATGGGAGGGTGATTCGGCGGAGGGAATGCGACAAAGGTGCGGGCGGGAGAAGAAAAGTGCAGTGAATTTTTTCTTTTCTTTTCGAATACGATAAGTAATTAGGGTTTTAGAAATATAATTATCATAATTCTTATAAAATTTAATACTATCAATAACTTGTACATACACTATGGGTGTGTTTGTTTGGGGATTTGGATTTTGAGTTGGGATTTGAATAATGGTATGATGTGATATAAATAAGTGTTGATGTGATGTTTTGAATGTAAAATTGATTTTTAGTTTTATATAAAAAATGAAAAATAGGTGTTTGATTTGATGTTTTTGGGGAAAAAATTTTGGATGAATAGTAGGATTTTGATAAAATCCTACGACCGAACACACCCTATATGTAATAAAAGCATATCATGAAATTACAGGATAACTTATATATATATATATTGTCCATAGCACAATATAATATGGTCAAATTTTGAATACGATTTGAAATTATAATTTTGTTAATTATAGTAACGTTTATTATTAATATCATATCAATTTTTTTTACTGAATTAAAGTAATTACACTACAAAAAAATATCAATTTTGTAACAAGATTTTTTCGTTGTTAAATCTACTTTTTCTGTTACTAATGATATTAGAGACGGAATTTGAGATGGAATTACGTTAGCTACGTGAACTTTAGTAACGGAATTCCATTACGAATAAACTATTTTTTTGTAGTGTTACTTAAATTATAATTATTACCAAATATATTTTAAATTTATAAAAATATGCTATTGATAATATATATGAAGTTTATAACATGAAAGCATATCATGAAAACAAGATATAGTATGAAAGCATATCTTGAAACTACAAATATCATGTATATACTTTCGATAACATAATGTAATATATGATCAAGATTTGAATAAAATTTGAACTATAATTAACGTAATTTTGTTAATTATGGTAATGTTTGTAATTTATATCATATCAATTTCTTGTTCGAATTAAACTAATTATTTAAATTAAAATTATTACAAAAATATTTTAATTTCGTAAAAATGTGTCAAAGATAATAGATATAAAATTTGATTATACAAATAACTTGTACAACAAACATTGTATAGCATAAAATCATCACAATGTAATATGGTCAAAATTTGGATAAAATTTGAAATCATATAATTTTTTAATTATAGTTACATTTCTAATTAATGCGATGTTATTTTTTATTTTTTATTTTTGAATTACTTCAATTACTTATTTAAATTAAAATTATTTATAAAAATTTCTCTATCCAAATTTACAAATTTAATCTCATTTATTGATATCCATTGAATCGATCATTTAATCCAATCCTACGACTATAGTAAGTACAGTTCTGATTCTTGAACAACCTATTTTATGATGATAATTTTATGATTATATGATGACCGTTACCGTACTTATTTTACTATAGCTATCATATTGAATATTCATTTTGTCGAATGGTTCACACATAACGGGTAGATTTGTAATTTTATTTTACTTAAATAATTTACAATAGTGCATGCTAAAATATTCGAAGAATCATGATGTATGAAATATGTTTGTGTGTTTTTCAATTCATAGTATAATATAGGTTATTATTCAAATAAATCACCATGATATTTGAGGATCGAAAATTGGAGGAAATCCAGTTGTTCAAGATCCGTGAAATTTACAAGAACATTGAGGATATATGTCGACGGTTAGTAAACTCATATCATTGAAATCGAAGTCCATCTCCTCGAGCACGCCGTCTCCGGTGCCGTTGTTGATCAGAGGAACACGGAGAGAATCCGATTCAAACCATCCGAAGGTAACATTTCATTACAAAAAATATCTAATTAGCTACAATATATTTAATTACGAAATATTTTTGTAGTTGATACGTGTCATTTAGCAAGAAAAATTAATTTCATTGCAAAAATAAATTATGTACTACAAAATTAATTTCACAGCTAAAATTTTTTTTACTAGAAAATTATATCTTCACAGTAAAAAAGTTTTAGCTAAAAAATTATTTTTCATACCTAAAATCATTTGATTAAAAAAATCATAGATATTTTGTTGTTAAAACTCTTTTGTCATGAATTTTAATTTTATAGTGAAAGAATTTAGCTAAAAAATCATATTTTTGTAGCTATATCTCTTTTTTTAACTTTCATTGCAAAAAATTTATTTTTTTGTTACGAAAGTCATATTTATTATAAAAAACTTTTAGTATAAAATTAAAGCGTATAATTATTTTCTAAAAAAAAATTGACAAAATAAGTAAAACGGAGTGAGTATGACATTATATTTTAGAAAAACATAAATATAATTTTAGGGACAATCATTATCGTTATAAAAATATGTATAGAAATAATCTTACATCCATTATTATTATTGGTGAATTTAATTTTTAAAAAATATAAATAATTTAATAAATGTATAAAATTAAATTTACATTACTACCGTATCAGAAGTTCAGAACTAAATATAAATATTAAAAAAAAAAAAAAAAAAAAAGCTTTCCTTGGTTGTATTTCATTTACCAAAAGTCACTACAAGAACATTTGCCGTCTCTAAAATGATGGTACCTATTCGCGTCCCTCACGACAATCTCTCTCCGGACAATGTCGCATATAAACTTCAAGACAACATGACAATCGTCGCAAATACGAAGGTTCTTGATTACCCGGACCGGTTTCTCCGGCGGGCCGCCGCCGAGCAACGCGTAGGCGACGGCTTGCCTCTCACTATGCCAAAATAATTGCCATTCCTTGTCGTGTTGCTCCATATTGTGCAACACGACTGTAGTATCGGGTACATAGCCTCGTTTCCTCATCTCAGCTTCTAATTCCTTCAACAGTGCAAAAATCTCGTCCTTCATAGGATAATTTCCCGTCTCGCCAGCATAGAACACTCGACTATCATTCCCTAAATCGACCCAACTATATCCGGGTTTCTTTCTTCGATCTAAGCCCATCATTGATTTCCTCACCGTCGAGACACGGTCCCACATCGCGGCACGAGCGTAGACATTCGACATTAACACGAACGTCGACGGCGATTCGGGTCTCGTTTGGAGCAAATCGTCGGCGATTCTTACCCCGATTTCCGTTCTCCCGACGCGTATACAAGAACTTAGTAAAGAAGCCCACATCGTCTCGTCTGGCTTGAACGGCATAGATTTGAGCACGTTCTCGGCCTCGTCGATGTCTCCCGATCGACTATATAGATCCAACAAGCACGTGTAATGTTGTAGGCTCGGTCGTAGTCCGTATTCCTCGACCATCGACTTGAAAATCGCTCGACCCTTTTCGACTAAGCCGACGTGGCTACACGCGTATATTAGCCCCGTGAACGTTACTTCGTTTGGCTTCAAACCCGTCGAAACCATGTCGTCGTACAACGACAACGCTTCCTTGCCTCGACCGTGCTGCGCCATCCCGACTATAATAGATGTCCAAGAAATGATATCCCGTTCCCTCATGTCGTGAAAAATTTTACTCGCCGACGATAGGTCGCTGCATTTAGCGTACATATCGATCAAAGCATTCGTAACGTACGCGTTCGACGCGTACCCGAGACGTAAAACTAATCCGTGCGCTTGCTTACCGAGCTCCAACAACGCTAAACTAGAAGAGCCGGCGATCAAGCTCGATAAAACAAAGGGATCTTCGATATCCACTCCGTCTCTCCTCATCTCACTAAAAATCCTAAATGACTCGTCGGTATGCCTGCCTTGGACGAACCCGGATATCGCTGCGGTCCATGTTCGCAAATTCTTGCACGGCATTTTGCGTAGGAGCTCGATCACTACGCCCTCCCGTCCGACCATCGCGTAGCCATAGATCAAGCTCGTCCACGACACTACATTCTTCGACACGATGGATCCGAACACTTTCCCGGCTTCGTCCGGCAATCCGCACTTGGCGTAGAAATCGACCAACGAGGACTTGACTACGTCGTCCTTGCAATACGGCGACACTGCAAACTGCGCGTGCAGCTGCCGGCCGACATCGACGGCAGGCAGCATGGCGCAGGCGCGGACGACGGTGGCGAAGATAAAGTGGTCGGGGCTGATGTCGCCGGCGCCGATCATGCGAAAGAATAGGAGGAGGGCGTGGGCGGGCATGTGGAGATGGTTGTAGGCAGTGAAAAGGGAGGCCCAGGAGGCTAAGTCCCTGTGGGGCATTTCGTCGAACAGTTGGAGGGCGTCGTTGAGGAGGCGAGCTTTGGCGTAGAGATGGATGAGGGTGTTGGAGTAGAGCGGGCCGTGGAGGTGTGCGCCGGATTTGACGACGATGGCGTGGAGATTCTTCGCTTGGATTGGGCATTGACATTGTTTGATGTGGCGCACCAACTGTTTCAATCTGTTTGCTGCTGTCATATAGTTGAACACTAACAGAGGATAGAATCCAATCCAATCCAATCCAATCCAATCCGAGGTTAGTTAATTTGAATATGAACATATATATATAATTTTAAAACATACGCCATTTGTAGGGGAAGAAAAAGCAGTGTGTCTGTGCTGGTTTTGTTGGCCCCTGTGGATGAAGAAGAAATGGATAAATATCAAAATCCAGAGCTAGAGCAGATCCGGCTAGCTTCATTCTTTCAGAGAAGGGGAAAATGTTGTAGAGAAAGGTTTATTTGGGCATGTTTTTTTACCCTGGCATGGAGGAACTTACTGCTTCTGCACTGTAAGTCCGAAGTTACCGTGAGACTTTCTTTATCCCCCTACCCACTTTAAATTCAAAAATTACAGCTCTTTGTAAAATAATTATAGTTTAATTTTAAAATTTTAAATTTAATATATATTTATTATCTATCAAATTAATATATATCAAAACTCTTTAAATTCAAAAGCAAATCTATATATAAAAGATATTTTAAAATTCAAATAAAAATAAATTTCAATTTCAAATTTTCACACACTATGCAAACGAAACACACCTTTTATTTATTTATTTTTACACCCACAAACTCACATAAGTTGCTAATACTCCATTCCTCTCGTATAAAATAGTAATAAATTTTGTAGATACGAAAAATAAAGGATAATTTAATAAATAATTAAAAAATATATTAATAAAAATAATTAATATATAATAAAAATAAATTATAAATTAAATTTAAAAAATAATTTAATTAATATTAAAAATTTTAAATTTTAAATTTTAAAATATAACTAAAAAGTATAATTATATTTTAAAAAATAACAAATTCATGTATAGGACCAAAATTAAAAAATGTGAACATTTTATTTTATGTGAGATGGCTAGGTAATAATTTTACCGAATTTTTTTTAGAGTTATTTGATTTTTGGGTGTATTTGTTTGGGGTTTTGGATTTTGAATTGGGATTTGAATAGTAAAAATTTTGAATTTGAATAGTTGTATGATGTGATATAAATAAGTGTGGTGCGATGTTTTGAATGTAAAATTAATTTTTAATATAATATAAAAAATAAAAAATAAAAGTTTAATTTGATATTTTTAAAAAAAAAAATTGAATGAACAGTATAAATCCAATCCAATCTCCCGACCAAACACACCCAATGTATCCTAATTGGATGTCTCCTCAAATATGTTAAAACTTCAATTGTTTTGTTAGATTTTTTGTATTGGTAGAACAAAAGTAATTAAATTTTTTTACAATAAAATTAAAATTAATGATTTTTTTATAATGGCATTGACCATTTTTTTTATTTTTCCCTTGTTAAAAACTAGGGATGTCAAAAGTAAACCCGACTCGAAAAATCGAACTGGTTCGATCAAAAATTTTTCAGGTTCGGGTTTGAGATTTCGGGTTTAAAAAAAATCGGGTCGATTCGAATCCGAAACGAAAAAAATTTGTGTCGTGTTCGGGTCGTGTTTCGGATTTACATGATAACCTGAAATATAAAAATCAGTTTTGAGTTTCATTTTTCGGATTGATCTGAAATTTTTTTTATTATTATTATTTTTATTTATAATATTTATATTATTTTAAATATAAAATAATATAAAAATTAAAATAAAAATGATATTTTTTAGGTCAATTTAATTTTTTTAAAATTTTCGAATATGTTTCGTGTCGGGCTTATTCGGATTTCAAGTGACCTGAAACTAATTCAGGTCAAGGTCAGATTTCGGGTTGACAATTTTTTTCGTTATCCCCATAGCTCAACCCGACACAAACACGACCCAAAAACACGAATAGACCCGCCTGTCAAAAACAATTATATTTTGGAAAAAAAGAAATCAATAAAACAAAATTAGATAGGCGTATTGTGAAACAAAATTAAGGTAAAACTTCAAACAGAAGAATACATCAAGTGGGATAAGAACAGAACAAAACAGAACAGGGGAATTGAAGCTGGGAGTTCTCTTTGTTTTGCACCCCTTACCACACAATTCGATCCGCAATCTCTCTCTCTTTCTCAGGTAGAGTTCCTTTCGTTTTTTCATTATTTCAGCAATGGACTTGGGGAATTTCGTTTCGTTATGAATTGTCGAGACCTGGGAAGATTAGAACTTTTTAGATCCGGTTCGTCTATTTTATACGCACGAGTTTCGGGCATTAATCTGAACTTTTCCGATGCGTTTTGATTTGTTTAATAAATTCGACTGATGGTTGAGAAGATTGATTACTGGTTGAAAGTCCGGTTTTCTATTGTGAATGAATGAATGATCGATCTGGATATAATTGTGTGTTTTGAAATTTGTGTGTGATTAGGAAATAGATGTTTTATCAAAAATATTACTCTCGTTTAGCTGAATCAATGTCTCTCTTCATTCCAATTTTGTTTTTCCGCTTAATTCCCCTTGGTTTTCAATGTTTGGAATTTGGAAATCTTAAGATCTCAACTGATTTGTTTATTGCAGAATAAGTGTGATTGAATTTGTATGAATTTAGTTTGGGGATTTGTTTATGGGATCAATGTATAGTGTTCTAACTTTATTTCCAAATGTGTTGAAGGCTTAAACTTTAAGAAAAGAAACAAAAGATGCCACCACAGAAGATAGAGACAGGTCATGATGCTGTTGTTCACGACGTGACAATGGATTACTATGGAAAACGAGTGGCAACAGCGTCTTCCGATGCCACCATTAAAATTGTCGGAGTTAACAACAACTCTTCCCAGCATTTAGCAACTTTGAGCGGACATCAAGGTCCGGTCTGGCAGGTCACTTGGGCGCACCCCAAATTTGGCTCACTGCTTGCTTCCTGTTCCTACGATGGTAAAGTGATCATCTGGAAGGAAGGTAATCAGAACGAATGGTCTCAATTCCAGGTCTTGTACCACACCTCGTCCGTCAATTCCATTGCTTGGGCACCTCATGAGCTGGGGTTGTGCTTGGCTTGTGGATCCTCTGATGGAAATATCAGCATCTACACATCTCAACCAGACGGCAGCTGGGACATGACTAAAATCGACCAAGCTCATCCTGTTGGGGTGACCTCTGTTACATGGGCTCCACCAACTGCTCCTGGTGCATTGGTTGGATCCGGGATGCTCGAACCTATTCAAAAGCTGGCCTCTGGTGGCTGTGACAACACTGTGAAGGTTTGGAAGCTGTATAATGGGAGCTGGAAAATGGACTGCTTCCCGGCCCTTCAAATGCACTCTGATTGGGTAAGGGATGTTGCATGGGCCCCGAATTTAGGGCTTCCAAAATCCACCATTGCAAGTGCTTCTCAGGATGGTACGGTTGTGGTATGGACTGTAGCCAAGGAAGGCGATCAATGGGTTGGTAAGGTTTTGAATGACTTCAAGAGCCCTGTTTGGAGGGTGTCATGGTCGCTAACTGGAAACTTGCTCGCTGTGGCGTCTGGGGATAATAACATTACACTGTGGAATGAAGCCGTTGATGGGGTGTGGAAAGAAGCGACCACTGCACTCAACCAATAGTCTCCAGGTTCTTTTACTGTTCAAAACGAGTTGATTTGTTTTGTTTTGTTTGTGTGGTTAGACATATTTAGAAGGACCATTTTAGTGATTATATTTCTCTGCATCTTTGTTCATTTTAGTTGAATTATTCTGTGGTCGCTGGATGCCTGTATACTTCAAGTTTGTCTTGATTAGACTACTATACATTTATTTTGGGCTTCTAATCGTTTGTGTTGTTTTTATTACTGAAATTGCTTTGATTGTTACTTTTATGAAGTAAGGCTCTAACATCTGTTTGGATGAATCCTTTCAGAAGTCATCTAATTAACATGCCATCCTTTCAATTCTATATTTTCTTGTTATCATCGTTCCTGAGATGATCTAGCGTTACCATCATATTGGTGTTTATCATCTCTATTTTCAGAGTCAGTGCAAGAGTCAAGATTTTGGTTCAGATACAGATTATCAACTTGAATTGTGAACTTCAGTACTAGTCTGATTTCCATAGCTTGAGATGAGGTTCCGGGGTTACTTGTAGTCAAAGCAGGTGGATTAATGCTTGTGATAGGTAGGTCATCATCTTCGTCTTCCTGATTCATATCATCAGAAATTGAATCATTAGTATGATAGAAAAATAACATTAGCAGATTCTGTTACCTTTCTTGTGTGTTTATTTAGCAAGTACTTTTATTTGAATTAAGAAATATTACTTCCTCTGATGGGAGCCAAACTTGCATAGTTGAGTTATGGCATTAGGGATATAGTATTTGCGGCCAAATGTCTGAAATAAAGAACATTCATATTTGCTTATGTTTTCCAACTTTGTTTTCGCACTATTCATTTAAAAAATCCCCCTTCACATCCAATACCTATTTTTCAATTAAAAAAAAAAAAAAAAAACATTTTCTATTGAAAACATCACATCCGACACTTACTTACATGGCATTCTATACTTATTTTCCATTTTCCTCTCCAGATTTGGTAGAGAGTATGTTTCATGTTAGTTCATAAGTTTATACAATTGATGGTATAACATGTTGTATTCACATCTTCAACCTGTAAACTCTTGATTATATATTTTGCCATTGAGCGTTCCGTATCTTGTAGAGTCCGATATTTTCTTCCTTTATGTGTCTCTGGGGCAGAATACTTGTGTTTGATGCTGAGGTCATCATAGAACCTTCCAAAATGTTGGTTATCATATTCTGTTTCATGGCTTGTATGGATTCTTGCGACTTTTGAAACGTGTCCGCACACCTACCTGCTGGCTGCGTGTTGTTTAGACGTTCCGGACAGCTTGTATCTATTTACCTTTTATCATGTGAACATGGTTTCGGTAGTTCTCTTACAGTTCCACTACTACTCAGGTTAATTAGAGATTGGTTATTTACATGTCCAAGTCAATAATTTTGTGCAAGTTTAGCTCATTAAGCATGTTAGTTGGACCTAGTAGCCTTTCAATGACTCCCTTTGATCACATCATATGTATAGATCAAGCAGTGTCAAAATATGATTCACATTTGTTAGGAATGTTAAGAAGGGATCCGGGTTTTCATCCCAAAATCAATTGGTGATAGGTGGAGTGGCTTTCACCGAGTTCCCACATATTAACCAATGTGAGACAATATTCAACAAGAAACACACGAGGACAAAATACCTGATTTGGGTTGTTTCATGACATTTTTTTTTTTAAACCAAGTTGTCTGTCTTTTTCACATTCAGATTGAATTCATCGATCATTGTCAACCCAGGTGGCTTGTATAATCTTCACATTCATGACAAATGATTCCATTATTTGGATTTGGCCTTGTAGAAAGAAATCACGAACGTTTTTGCTGTGTTTACAGAATAAGTAGATAGATTGCTTGTAAATTTTGATATTTTCCTGCTCTGATCTGAATGCATAGGCAGTTTGGAAGCAGTTTTCATATTGAAATGTAACATTCTGGATATTCTTAGCGATCGGATCCATCTTCTAGTTTTGCTTCATCTTCCATTTTCAAGATGGTTCATTTAGTAGCAAGACTTTCAGAAAATGACTATAATTGCCTAGTAAAAAAAGGACCTTAGCAAAGTAAAATTTGTACGAGTAATAATAATAATATAATAATAATAATGTGTTTCTTTTGCCCAAAATTTCCAAAGTTTTACCATTTGGACCCAGTATTTTTTGAAAAAAATACATTTTCTTTCCAAACCAAATCAAAAGAAACACACGTAACTCACCCAACCTCAGATCAGAGTCTCCTCCTCATTCATACCTCCATCATCAAGCTCAAGCTCATATCTGAGTTAGAAGTACCACTTTGGCCTTACTTCCTGCTCGGTTTCTGTCAATTCCCTGTACTCGTACCATTTCTCTCCGCCACTACCTACTGGTAAAGGAGGACGAACAAATATCTCCACAGGCTTGGGAACATGAACAGTTATACTTATCTCACCGCCGGATTCTGCTGCTGCAGTGGCCTCGGCCGATCCGGGAAATGGTTCGATGCATATCCACCCGAGCCCTGATATAGCCACGTCGCAAGACGGCCTGGGTACATACAACAGCATATTTGTTTTAATAATTTATGTATGCTTATTATTATTGATGCTCAACTATAAAAGGAACTCCTATGTTCTTTTTTTGTTTCTTTTACTACCTCTCCCGGTCATGATATTTTATTTGTAACTCGCGTTTTGTTTCAAGACCTGCCCAGCTGTCCAACTTCTGTATCCCAGTTGGAGGCGTCAAGATGCTCCCAACTTCTTTCTGAAACATTACTTATACAGTCAATTCCTTTGGATTCAGCTGGCCCATAACACAAATTCATACAGTAATAATTGCTCATGCCAAAAGGAAGAAAAGTATGGAAGCCTTGATGTAATTGCAGTTTTACCCGGTAAAATTCATCTGCCTCTCTAGTTGGTACCACATGTAATTGAAGTGCCTTAGGTCCGTAGAAGGTCAGGCGTGTTTCTGGGAGAGCTCTGATGACATCTACTCGGACAAGACCTCCCCAAAATACTGAAAAACCAACCATACCATCTGACCTGATTTGCTCGACCATTGAGTTGTCCAAATTCACATGGGGGTTCTGGTTCACACCAAAATGAAGGGGGGAAATTGTTCAGTTTTGATGCTTAAAGCTAAGCATTTCTGAAAATAGATAAAAAGGGAGTCAACGTACTGGGAAAGATTGACCTCGAAGTCGGCTTTGGGGCGCAAGGGCAGGTAGATCCTCTGAGTGGATTACTGCAGCTTGCCTATGGTGCAGATGAACTCCAGGTGTGTCGTATAGTTTCTGCAAAATATTGAAGAGGGCAAATAATTCTGGAATATCATCGACAGATATGTGGATAAGGTGGAAATATGGATCCAATGTTTTAATAACAGAACGGACAATTATTTATTGTTACATAATCAATTGGTTCAAGCTGTCTAGCAACACATACAATCTCAATCTTTTGGGACGTATGTAATAACTCTAAGTAAAAAGTTTAAGAAATTAAGTAAAGAATAAATAGATGGATTTGGAATTATGAGCGTGGAATAGTACAGATGAAATGAAAGACAGTTGAAATTTAGGAAAGTAGGACATACCCCTCCTCCTAGGAAAGCTTCAATTGGGATTGGACCCAAAGTCGTTCCTGGAACAGCAGATTGAATTGGTTTGTATTTTCTGGCAGCAGCTGCCGCTGGATCCTTATAAGATAACATTTCTGATAACAAAACTAAGTATATAAGTTCATGGGTTTTGAACAAGTTCATACAAACTTTTCTGACTGTTTGCCTTGCTAGCGGCATTAACTGGAATTTAATCAGGCTGAGTATACAACTTGAGAAGATTACACATACTAAACAATAAAATAAGAGAGGAAGTTCAAATATAAACAAGATAATAGCAAATTTGTTCCATGGTAAATTGAAAGCAACTCTCTCTGGTGGAGATCAATTTGTGAACGAAGTATGGGAACACACTCCATTAGCATTCAAAATTCAAATCAAAATTGAAAATGACATTTTTAATGGAATAAACGACTTAATAAGTGGTAACACTTAAATTAGTTGAAAACAATTATAAAATCAGCAGGAATACTTACTCAAGAGAGCATTGATGAAAGCAGATTTTCCAACATTAGCTGATCCCTGTCAAAACAATAAGTAGCAATTACTCATTCCAAATACAAGAATTAGAGAAATTTAGTTAACATGCCCAAGAGAATAAGGTATGAAACATAATAAGATGCTGAACAGGACATGATTTCCAGAGTAAAGGACTTACCAAAATGTATACATCCCTCCCCTGAAATGAGAAAGTCATACCTTCTTTAGTTTAAGGACAATATAAAAGAAACTGAGAATAAATTAAGTTCATCTGCATAACTTATAATTTATGAACAACGATGTCAATATGAGAAGCTAGCCAAGAAAATGAGAAAGACAAAAATTACCACAAAACAAACTTGTGGTGCACCAGCTCCAGTTTCAATGTAAACACACACACACACACACACACACACAATAATTCTAAGGTAGGTACTCCCATAAACATTAATACACTACATAAACCCTATTAATATAGCACAACTTCTTCTAAGATATAATAAGGCAAGCATTTGGTGGCTCACCCCTTCAGGTTCAAAAAAGTTTATATACTTTAGAGATGTAACTAAATCACCTCACATGATGCTTCCAATTACCAGCCTTCCATTGTAGAATATAAAATTTTCCCTAGGCTAGTGTGGAGCATGAGAGTCTATGAAGATGAAAAAGAATTCTCTAAGGCCCAGTTTGTTTGAAAGGATTTGGCTTAAAGTTATCTCAAATGACTCCGTTAAATCCATTCGTTTCATTTGGCAACACGGTGGATTTCAAGTCTCCAAAAGTTGGTTGTGGATTTGAAATCCCACCCCTGTAATATTTCAAATACTCTTTATACTGTATCATTTCAAATACTTCCCACAGCCAGGTAAGCATCAAATTAATTTGCTTTCAAGAACATCATGATGGATATTAATTATTAAGTACTTTAAATCCAAAGTAATTCAAATCCATTCATTTAAAATCACTGTCAAGTCCAGATCCAGTGAACCAAACAGGGCCTAAAGGAAAACCAATTGCTTCTATCAGATGTTGACTAGAAAATACGGGTATACTAGTTAGTCGCTTCTTCATTCACTTCTAAAGTAATCATACCTAAGACAGGACAAGCTATAAACGGGACTTTAATAACAACTATATCAGGAAATAACCAACCTTCTTTTCTTTCTGAATTTCTGAGATCACTCCAGCAATGCCCACCAAAGACTTAGAACTCGTCAAGTGCACACTCAGCACACTGCAAAATGAGTGTTTTTTGTGCCATTTAACATCTTTAACATCTATAAGAACACATTAATGCATTAGAACTCTAGAATCCTAAAAAGAACTACATTTAGGTCTATCAGACTGTGTCAGGACTGCACAAAAGCAATCTTGGCATCGACCACTTTTATCTTCAATGTGTCACGTAGAAACTAAATGCCAACAATACAATGCCACAAAAGCAAATTGCAGTGGTATAGACTTCCCAGCCAGAATCCTCTAAAAATGGTAGCTTACAAAGAACCTATTACTATTAGCTTTCTTTTAGTTCAATCGCGTCAAAGTTGTAATTAAACAAGATCGAAGTTAAGGTAAATCTGGCCTTAAAATTAGATTGAAATCACAAACATCATATTGGCATGTCTTTATGGAGAAGGCTCAAGGCAAGTCCAACATAAAAACAACTTACTTTAGCTTCCTCTTCATTGTTGCCTCCACAACCCAGTCACCAACACAATTAAAATCAGTCCCTTTAGGAAGAAGATCAACCTAGAAACCATCAAATATCAAATCAATGTTCTTGACATTTGTAAAAAAATAAAAATAAAATCTATACATATTCAAAACAATAGTCAGATAATATGCTACTCATTTCCATCACCTTAGTAATGACTAGAATAATCGGATTAGCGCCAGCAAGATCACGAACCTTGGCCAGGAAACTGCCATTGAAATCGACTATATCCACCTACATATAAACGACCACCATATATGCAATAATTGGAACAGTAAAAAACAGCAACCATTAGATAACTCAAACAAGATAAAAGAGTGTAGATGCACACAAACATCAGGATTTAACCAAAAGAATATACACATACATATATAATTATATATATTAATATATATCCAAAGCTAGAAATTTCAATATTGTTCCCAATGAATTACCAATTTCACTATAAGAGCTTTCTCATAACGCAAATGTGACAGCTTTTCCCGAAGCTCTTCAGCCGTGACAAATTGTTTCCCGCCGGAATATCCTCCATTTCCGCCAACAGCAGTAACCATATGACCATGGGACAAAAGCTTGCACCGCCCACACAACACCTTTCTCAGCTGTCTATGCTTCTTCTTCTGCACAAAACAATTGCAAACACTTACATCAAGCAAATCGCACAATCTTCAAACCCAGTCATTATCTCCACACACAAATTCCTCACCAGATTATAAGCCTCAAGCTCCACGTACCCGGGAGCATCCTCTTTGGATGTCTGCAACGGCGCGCCGCATCCATAGCAGCTCGGAACAGTAATCAGAGCCGCTTTCACAGCCTTGTCTTTCCTCTTCGTCGTCTTCTTCTTCGATTCCGATATAACAGCAGCAGCTGCAGCTGCAAACTCTTGTTGCCGCAGGAAGACTTCGCCTCGTGTCGGCGCCGATGGTCCGGCGCCTTCGAGTTCGGATGCATCTGTTGAGCTAGATCTGCAATTGATGAGATTGAATGGCTTTCGGCGGAAAGATTTGGAGAAAATCAACTTATGGGTAGGGTTTTCAAAAGAGCGAAATGTGGAGAAAGGAGCCAACGCCATGGATGAACAGAACTCCGATAAAACTGCCCCGCCCCGGCAGTGTAATTCCAATTCCAGGATACATTCAAAAGCGTTTATATGTGATATGAAGTCGCGTTTTTCATTTTGCTTTTTTGAATAGGTAACACGCTTTTAAAAGGGAAAGCATTTATTAGAGGGCATTGTTTTTCGATATACTTACAATATTAAAATAAAATTTAAAGCCGAAATATTGCAATATAGAGCGTACAAAAAATTTCAAAGTTCACACACTTCATCAATGCAATATTATTATCAGTGGATGTAGTTTACACTCTATTAAAAATTTTGATGTAATATTTTTTAAAATGTAAAAGAATTTTCAAATATACATTAAAATTATGTGGAGTTTTCAAAATACATATAAGTTATGAACAACTTCACCAAATTTAAATTCAGAACTCCCAAAAATAGATTATAGTATTATTGGGTGTAGTCTGTGAACATTGAATCATCCGTGGAATATTATTTCTAAGTAAAATTAATACTTCCTCCGTCTCGGTGCAATGTTGTTGTTTACTTTTTTACACGTAAATTTTTTAATATTAGTATTATAATGGGTTGTAATAAAAAAGACAAAAATTAGTATTGTGTAATATAAAAGCAGTTGCATTTTGTGTAATATAGTGTAAGGTAGAAGAGTATTTATTATGTTAGGTAAGTAGTACAATTACTAAATTAAGAAATGGTAACTTTTGAGACGGACAAAAATGAAAAATAAAAACCTTTCAATGAGACGAAGGGAGTATACATATTCAAATTATTAATCAAACAAGATGGACATTTGTTTTTTGCTCAAAAGTATTTATAAGATTATTTTCAACTCATAACTCTAATTTTGAAATTAATAGTATATAAATTTAAATTATTGATGGTCATTCATAAATCTATTATGCCAGAGTTACTATTTTTTTAATTATTTTTACATGTTTTTTTTTTAAATTAATACACTAGATACATTCAATATTTTTATATTTTTTATATGATTTTGTATACCTCACGTAAAAAAATTTCTTTTTACTCACAAAACAAACACACATTATTTTTCTATTTCTCATCTTCAATCACATTCTTTATTTTTGCAAGTTAAAGTATATTTTATCTATATTTTATTTTATATATTTTTTATTATTTAAATTTATAAATAAAATTAAATATTTTATTATTTTTATATATTTAATTTCTAAAAATATTTTAAATATTATATCGATAGATTAAATTTATAACTTTTTTTATCATAAAAGTTAAAAATATTTTTTAATTACATAAATTAAAATTTTAATATTATTAATTAATATTTATGTTAAATAAAAATAAAAATATATAATATATTAAATATATAAATACAATATAAATATTAATATTAATTATGAAATTAAAATATAAATATAAATATAAAAAATAATTTATTTTATAAATAATAAAATAAAATTCACAAATAATACAATAAAATAAAAAAAAAAGTAAATAATTAAGCAAAAACACAATTTTTAAATAAATTTTAATTAACTTTTTAATTTAAAATTTAAATGATAGATTATACAAGGTAATGCAGTATATAACTTACACAATATATTTTTATATAATATAACATATATTATCTATTTTGTAATAAAATATTAATTACTTCAAGTTAATATGCTAGTTTGATCAAATCAATAATGTTGACTTATTTAGTCAACATCCTAAATGTTGGTTTTTTGGTACCCATACCTTGAAACCCAAACCCAAACATGTGTAATCCGACCTGCAATCTATTTATCCAAAATAGATCCAGTTCGTCCATTTAATTAGGGTTAATCTGGGTCATTGATTTCTTTGATATATATGTGTTGTGGGTTGAGAAGATTATTATCATTCATTCACACGACACAGAAACCCTAATCTCTCTTCTCCTTCATCGCGATTTCTCACGAGCTCACCTGTGAATCAATTCCTTGAGGTTTTCCGGTGTGCCTCCGTCGACCGGTGCCTTCCTAGTCCGACGAGTTTTCTTCGAAGCAGTGTAAGTTGTCTGCGGTAAGATTTAGTCGCGAATAAGCATTCGCATGTTCTTTCTTTTGGCCCGTCGGTGAATATTTTGGGTTTGTGGTGAGTGTGAGTTGTTGGTTGCCTAGTTTGGGTTTGGTTCCTTGTTTCTTGGCTTGGTCACCATTTTTTGTTGGGTTTGTGAAGGGCCTAAGACTAGTTTTATTTGAGGTATATGATGTGCAATTCATAGAATCATGTTGTTTGTTGTGGATTCGGGTTAAAATTGTTAATTTCTTGGGCGAATCTTTGATTTCGGTTTTAGATTGTTTTCTTACAGTGGTATCAGAGCTATTCGTTAATCTTTTCTTGAACTGCGTATACTTCAATCGCATAAAACAGTTTGGTTTTTTTGTTTTCTTATTGTTTTTTGGGACTACTAATCTTTGGTTTTGATTTCTTGAGCGTTAAAGTCGGGTCTGCTGTTTCCCAACATAAACTCGACAAGCTGGTAAGGCAGGTTAAGTATTCTTTTAGTAATTATCTTTGTTTCCTTGTGAGATATATTCTGCCTTGTGTGTTGCCGTAGTTGCCTTATATGTGATAGTGTAGTAGAATTGAAATTACTTTGTCTATCACTAATTGTCTTTCCAAATAAAGATATATCTGTTTTTTATGTGCTTCTGCCTTTAATCCTTTGTTCTATTTTTTGGGAAGATCTGTTTGAATCTTTTCTTTGAAAATGGCCTCCAGTTACTATAATATTCAGTCTTTTGATGGTAAAATCGATTTTGTTGTATGGAAACAAAAAATGAGAAGTGTTTTAATAACACAAAGATTAATAAGAGAAATTGAGGATGAACACCCTACACATGTTCCTCTAGAAAAAGGGTTGAAATTGATGAATTAGCTTCTTCGTGTATAATTTTAAATCTAGCCGACTCTATAGTAAGAAAAGTAGAGAAACAAGTAAGTGCAAAGGCTTGATGAATTATACACTAATACCTCTCTTCCAAGTAGGATTCACTTGTTAGAAAAAGATTTCAGTATCAAATTGGATTTTTCAAAATCTGTTGATGAAAATATTGATATATTTACAAAGTTAATCCAAGATATAAAAATAGATAAGAACATAGATGACTATAGTCCAATTATTTTGTTAAATGCAATTCTTATGCTGATGTAAAAGTAGCAATAAAATATGGAATGTTATGTATACTAGAGGTAGGTCTCCATATAGGTCTAACAAAAGGAACTTTACTGGAAATAAAAATAATGGTAATTTTCAGAATAACAACAATAAGAAAGGATTTAAAAGTAGATCTCTGTCTAGGCCTAAAACTTCTTCTAAGAATGTTAAAAGATGTTTTCAATATGGTGATCCTAATCACTTTGTTCGAGATTGTCCCCAAAAGAATCAAACTAATCAAAAAGCAAATCCAAATGAGAGTGCAAACTTTATATATGTTGATCAGTGATTAGGTGATGTTTGTGTTGTGAAAGCTGAATATTTTAAAACTTCTGTTATTTTAGAGAATGAATGGTTATTAGATTCAGCTTGTACTTTTCATATGACACCCTTAAATTAAAATTTGTTTTTTCAGCCTACAAATCTTTAAATAACTGTTCAATTTCTATGGTTGACAATAGGGTATGTAATGTACTAGGTATTGGTCCTGTTTACTTGAAATTGAATTCAGGATATATTTTGAAGCTTAATGATGTAAGACATACACCTGATTTGTCTAATAATCTTTTATCATGTGCCGGGCTATCCTCTATGGGTTTAGAGGGCAAATGAGGGGTTGATTGTATGAAAATATCCAAAGGTTCATTGGTTTTGTTTAAGGCAGAAATGAAAAACAATTTGTATGTTGTTTCAGCTGTTCCTATGGGTCAAAATGATAATTTTGCTAATGTTGTTCCTTATGATAAGACAAAACTTTGGCATAAAAGGTTATGACACATTAGTAACAAAAGAATTGAAATTTTGAATAAAGCTAGTTGTTTTGGCAATGATAAAGTTATTGTTGTACCTTTTTGTGATGATTGTATGTTTGGTAAGCATCATAAGGTTCAATTTCCTTGTACTCCTGCTTCTAAAGTGTCTAATTTAAATAAGAAGTTAGACTATCTATATGCTGATGTTTGGGGGCCATCTAGTGAACCAACTCAATGAGGTAACATGTATTTCTTGTCTATTATTGATGATTTTTCTAGGAAAACATGGGTTTTCTTAATGAAAAATAAGTCTGATGTTTTTGGAATTTTTCAGAACTGGAAAATTCAAATTGAAAATCAAACAGGTTTAAAAATTAAATACTTAAGAACTGATAATGGCTTAGAGTTCTGTAATAACTGGTTTGAGTTATTTTGTGTTGAGCAAGGCATAACTAGGCATAAAACAGTTTCATACACTCCCCAACAAAATGGGGTAGCCGAGAGGATGAATAGAACCATTTGGAAAGGGTTAGAAGCCTCTTGGCATCTTCTGGACTGTCTAAAAAGTTTTGGGGGGAAGCCTTACTAACAGCTGCTTATTTGATTAACAAGTGTCCTTCCATTCCTTTGGGTGGAGGTTGTCCGGAAGCTAAATAGTCAAGTAAACAATTAGATTTATCTAATATTAAAGTGTTTGAGTGTAGCGCTTTTGTTTATGTTAAAGAGGATAAATTATAACCTAGGGCTAAGAAGTGTGTGTTATTAGGTTATCCCAAGGGAGTCAAAGGTTATAAATTGTGATTAAGAGGTAAACTTGGTTTTAAAACCATTATCAGCAGAGATGTGACTTTCAATGAATTTGAAATACCCTGTTTAATTCAAGAAAAACTTGTTTCTTTAGATAAAAATACCTATACCCCAAATGAGGTGGAGCAAGGATATAGTTTAAACCCAACTCTTGAAACTACTGAAATTGATCAGAAATTTCAGAATGTTGAAAATGAAACTGAAACTGATATTTCAGAACTTTCTTCTAGCCCTGAACAACCTGTTTTTCAACCTGAAAATACTCTTGAAAGTGTTGAAAATGAATCCCCAAATTTAGAAGGTTATAGATTGACTAGGG